CAGAGAATTAACAAAATAAAACCAAATCAAATTAAGTTTACTCTGATGGTAAGCCACAAGCAGCAGCAAACTCCAAAATAACTGGAAATGTGAAAGAGACGGACAGAAAAAAAAATAAAGGATAATCCCCAAACAACATCCCATCTTCCCTTCCCATAATCATAGGAAGACCAGGGTGGCCAGGGAATTGCTCCAAGTCTGTCTGATACCTGCTGTGACGATCCCAGAGTCTCTGAATTATGTGAAGCTCTCTTCCAACTAAACAGTGAAATCATCACATCCTCTTTTCCTCTAAGAAATTTAAGATATATTTTCACTTGTTTATTAATGCAAGGTGGAACACCTCCTTTTTAAGTAGCATTAAAGTTTGCTTGGGATTTCTGCCTCTCTTTGTGCAATAAAATGTTTTAAGCCCAACTCATAATGAAAAAAAGGCAACTATGGAAGACATACTTACTATTTCATATAATTTAATGGTATCATTCCCTTCCCCTCTACTTTCAGGCCAAAATCAATGCCACACAAATCTGCTGAACAGGAAGCCTAATTATTCTAACATGTGCAACCAAAGCGATAGGGAGTTTCTCACTAAAACTGATAAGGAGAGACATAAAAGACTAACGAGCAGCCTGCTGGTGCTCCATTGCTAGGCTAGCAAAGGTCCCCGTGGAACACCTTTAGTATTGTTCAGTGGAGAGGCAGACGCTGGGACACATCCAAAAATAACACTGGGAGACTGAAAGAGTGAACACGTAACATCTGCAGCTCAGGTTCTTAATCCAGGCACAGAAATACATTATTTGAAAGAGCGTAACCAACAGAAAAATGCCGGATGTGGCGCAGAAAGAGCCAATTAAATGCACTCAGGTTACTGAGCAGATAGACCCCTCTGTGCTGTCGGAATACACCGACAAATGTCTTCTTGACCCATGCCTGTTGTGCAGGTGACTGAAAGGAAAGGCTCTTGATTAAGGAGACACAGTCATCAGTATTATTAGTGACCAGCGATCAAACTACTGGGCCTGCAATAATCAGGCGTGAAAGAGGCAGAAAGGCCAGTGGTGGCCAGCAGAAGCAGCAGCCCCAGATCAGAAAAGGAGGCATCCAACAACACCAACTCCCTCCTCTTTGGCTAGGGTTTCCAGTGTACCAGCAAGTCATCTTCTGACCTACAAAAATGTGTGTTCCTCCCCAGCAGTGTTCTGTGCAAGACAAACCCAGGTGCCTGAGTAGCTTGTCCCTGAGGCAGTGATGCCACATTCCCTCTGCATACAGAGCACAGTCACTGAACTCAAGCACATTTGTTTCAAACAAGGATGGCTTGACACTGGTATTTCTGTTCAGACAGTCACAGCTCTTCCTCAGATAAAACTGGCTGACACATCTGCTGCTGCTGCTGAATTTCTGTAGTATTTTGTGTATTATACACCTATACACCTATTATACACCTGGTGTTATAGAAATAGATGCTCTGGGGAGACCTACACCTAGGTGAGTTTGTGTTAGTTTGCAACCTTTGGTTGCACAACTTAGCCTTTTCACTTCTGTTACCCCTAATGAGGGAGAGAACTTGAAACAGCAATTTAGAGAGCCTTACAAGACAGCAGGATCACATGTCAAATGGGAGTGTAATAGCCTCTTAACATACTTCCATCATGGCAAATTCAGTCACCCTTCAAGGTCCAAACCATTAATTTCTCCCCACCTCAGGACACCATATTTGGATGGAAATGGGGATTGATGTCATTGTTAACATTGTTACTCATTTGATAAATCTTATGCCAACCTCCAGCACTGATGCCAAGGTAGCCAAAAATGTGATTTTAATGGTAAGCACCAGAGCAGAGCATAGGCAAAGAATCACCAGTAAGGGAAGCAGCATCTCAGAGACACAGCCTCACACTTTCAGGGGGCTTTTACCTCTTTTACACCAAATTTACAACCTGGGAAAGAAACATCGTCTGCAAACACCATCCTTGCCCTACACCAAAATATCACCCAACCCCCCAGTTTTCCTCATGCCTAGAAACAAACTTGTATTGTACAAAAATCTTCTCCTGTAAGCCTCAGTATCCAGATTTCATGGCTCGAGAAAGTTTTTTTCTCCATATTATACAGTAACACAAAACCAGATTTTGCTGTGCAGACTTTACTGCATAACACTGAAGGGCACACTACAAAAATCAGTTCCCACACGAGATCAACAGAAAACAGAACTTTAGCACCTTCCTGAACTTCACCAACAAAGCTTCATTTTATTTGAGTACCAGCTAACAGAGGCACCATTCTTTTTTTCACTAAGTCCTTTTTGACAACCAAGCATGAGGAACAATTTCCTCCATTTATATTTCCAGAATAAAGGAAGAAGAACAGTAGCTGCAAAGGATCATCCCTGCTTCTCAAGTCCCCCAAAAGGCATATCATATTTTCCTTTCTCATAATATTTGATCAAGTCTACTTCATTACAGACAAGGTCAGAAAGCTCATCATGCTGTGATTGATGACAAATAACATACTGCCCACAACCCACAAAGACTGACTTAACTGTCTGATTTGCCTACACTTCTGCAGGCCAAATTTACTGACATTTTGCACAAATTCAAAGCTGACTTGAGCCTGATGACCTTTTATACCTCTGCAATTAGTCTTCTGTGCCTTTACAACCAGAAAAACAAGCTCTTCTGAGTTCAGCAGTCCATCTGTAAGCTAGAAACTTCACCATCAACTCAGCCCAGTCAAAAAAGTAGGCAAAAAAAAAAAGGGAAAAATATAAAGAAAGGAAATACACAAACTGCAACCTTTCAAAGTCATGTAATTGAGCCTGGAAAGGGCCTTTTAAGATAAACATGCCAATTGCTAAAAGAAGAAACAGAAAAAGATGAACTAGATGGTGAACCCAAATTCAATAAACAGGATTTTTATCATGCTTTTCTAAAAAGGACAATATAAAATAAGGGCACTGGCACAGGCAAGAACCATGAAAAAACAGTTGGAGGAATAAAATCAAGCCAGAGACCAAACCCAGTAAGTTTAGTCCCTAAGGCACAAAAAGTACAATGCTAATACATCGATTCAGCACTAAAATTTAACCAAGATTAATAACACAGAGGTTTAACTGCCGAAAACATCCACTAAGAGCTTCGTTTATGTATATAATCAGGGTTTGTAACCCAAACCTAGAGTTACAAAAAATACTTCTTAAATATGAACGTAAGCTTGAAAAGATGTGTTGTGTCCATCCTCTGGAAGTTCTGGATCCAGATCCCCACTGCAGCCAGTAAGACGCAGATCTGCTGTTCCCCAAATGGAGCGGAGGCGAGGCCAAGGTCAGAGCACTGACCTGCACTTCAAATTCCAGTCTCGGGAAAGAGGGATAGACAGGAATGGCCAACTTTGCTCTCCGCACAGTTTCCCACCTGGTAAAACCCGAGGGGACGCGCTCGGCTGGCGATGAGCACTTGATTCCTTAACCCACTGTCAGTCCTGGGATTTCCCTGCCCAACAACCAACCTTCCCTGAAAACACTACAAAAACAATATGGTCCTGTGGAACACCTGCCCCAGCTTCATGCCCTAACACATCCCAGTTTGGGAGTCTCCTCAGCAGTCAGTCCTTTTAAGAAAAGTATGCTCAAGAGCAAACAAAGACTTAATGGAAGGATACTTCAAACCAGAAAAGCATTTATTTTGGATAGCTCCATCACAAAGCTACCAGAACCAGAAGCCTCGTATTCATCAATATCAAAATTTTTCATACATTTTCTTTTTAGAAGAACTGCTAATTATCATCATACGTTTATTTTTTAAGTGGAAGTTTGGATTTTTTACTAAGTTAAATTAATCTAAAAACCAGCAGGGAAAATTTACTGAGGGTAAATTCAGAATTCTTTATCTGAATTTTAATGCAGAAATACATCTTATAGGGCAAGTCTCTCTTTTTCTTGTTCCAAACCATCACATTTTAAGTGGTGTTTCCCCTTAGGTCATTTATCTTCCACAATTTTATTTCAGTAAGTTTTGCTACAAGTAGATGTTTAAAGATATTGATTACAAAATGACTAATGAACTGTGTCAACCTGGGGGAAAAAAAAAAGGCAAAAAAATCCAAGTTGAAGTTCAGCCATTAAATAAAAGTCAAGCTTGGATATTACACATTCAAACCTCACACCAACTTTTGATATTTCGAAGTTCTACGTTACTGCTTGTTAAATATTTTGCCCACTTTCCTAGTGTGTTTGGTTTGTTCAAAAAACAGAGCGCAGAAAAACAATAATTTAATTGACTGCACAAGATAATGCAAAAAACAAGTCGAGAAATACAGCTTTCTACCCCCTTCCCGTGATGACAAACTGGCCCTGCTGCCAACTACCCCTTCCACAGGGATCCATGGCTGTACATCTGAACTTAATTCCATGTGGATAAGAGAAACTGCACCATGTTTGGACTGATACAGCCACGTCTAAGCTTTCAAAAATAGGCATCGTAATTCCATGTATTACATATAACCCCTCATTCTTTATTATTTGCAAAGGAAAGGGAGTCTGCCAAATCCTGGAGCAAAACCATATCCAAGGGAATGAAGTTCTTAGTTGGAAAGCACAAACATTTGGCTGGATTCCTGAGGCACAAGAGCTGCTGCCCTTTGCTGAGCACCGGACACTCCTGACACTGTCCCAGGACACAAGGGGAAGAGCAGCTCTCATGTGGCCTCCCCAAGAGCCCGCTCCTCATGTGCAGGGCAGGGTAAGCAGGGTAAAAGCTCTGCACACACACGCCACCCTGGCCTGGCCTGGCCGGTCAGCCCAAGCTCCCAGACCCCGGCAGGTCGGACACGTGGGGCACAGCTAAGAGGATTCCCGACCTTCCTGGGAAGCAGGAGCGTTTCTGAAAGGCTCAGATCCAACAATTAGCTAGATACCGCAGTTCTCGCATAAACATCCTAAAGTAGAGGAAAGAGGTATCTTAATTCAAAGACGACTTTTGGGTATTTTCTTAACTGACCTCCTTCAGAATTTTATTCCTCTTAGCTTGATTCCAACATCAGCTGCTCGCTGTGAACTGGAAGCAGTGTGGGGCAGGGATCAAGGTATCGGAGAGACACGAGTAACAACAGAACAGCTGACGGATGCTGTTCCTTCAGAGCAATCCCCTTCCCACTCCCGAGGGACGAATCTCTTTGAAGGTAACCCAAGTACTTTGGGCTGTGACCGAAAAGGATGCGCTACGCAGTCATTTCATGCCGGCACTCAAGCAAATCCGGCCACTTGAAATCAACTGCACGGAGTTCACGCGTGCTTTAAGAAGAGAGAAAGCAGCCGTATGACAAAAGCTAAGGAGGCCTACCGCACTGGGAATAAACTGCACTTTACGCTAAACTTTGCCCAGCGGCTCCCGGCTGTCCGAGGCTGATCATAACGAAAAGAAGGCAACGTCGGGTTTGAAACCGGCCAACTCGCAGCTCGGACACGAGCAGGGCGATGGCAGAGGCGCCGAGGGCACCAGGCTGGAGGCACCTCTGCTCCGGAGGGAGGGAAGGAGAACCGGGCGGCTGCAGCCGCTGCAGCCCCTCGGGAACCGCGGGGTGCTGGCCCTGGCCAGGGGGAGCGGGAGCGGGAGCCCGTCCCATCCCGTCCCGTCCCGTCCCGTCCCC